CTCGGCGACCTGGATGAATTCCGCGGTTCACTCCTTGGCCACGATATCACCCTCAAGTCTCGTGAACTTGGGAACCGCTGCCGACGCATCCGGAGTACAAAAACTGGGTGGTTGATTTAGGAACACCTATAATAACTTACATTGATACAAACTCGGAAACTTGGGTGCGAGCCGCATACCCATCGGACCGCCTCGATGCTCTCGGTAGTGATACAATATGGCGGATACTCAAGAAAGTGATGTTCATCACGCTAATGCTGACGCTAACATGGGTTTAGTTACAATTTCGTGGAAAACGAACGCGATACTGAGATTCACGAGTTAAAACTACTTTAGAACCCCAATTTGGCTCTTTTTCTCAAGAACCTCTTCTCCTTCACCTTAAGCAGCAGCGTTCCCAAAGCTTTGCAAACGCGGCTCAAGTACCAGTGTGAACAAGGCGTAAGACTGGTTCACACACCCCTGTATTGTTACTTTGTCTTACGTTGCGTATGAGTCATCAAAACATTGGTGTCTCGAATGTCGCCATGTCATGCCGTCTCCTTGAAATGGTAGCCACGCTTAATATAAAGCCCATATGTCCTGGTGAGTTGTACGTAATCTTTTGTAACGTTACGTAATGCAGAAAAATGGGGCTGTGAGAAACAGCCTTTAGACGCTAGTTTTCGAACTATGTACATCAGGAATTCTTGCGATATTTGAACACAATACTAAGACGTCTCACCATAACTAACAACCCTGGGCTGTGAAGCGCCGGCATCAGTGCGGAATGTACCGGATTTTCGGTACAATAGTTCGCGGACTACGCATGTTTGAATATTTACAATTTACTCTGTGGAAACTATCTAGAGGCGCAGACTATAGAAGGAATGTTTTTTATATCGTTCATTGTGACGAGACGTGGCGAAATTCCTAGAGGCGAGGGTGCGTTACTAACAATTCACATATGTTACTAGCTTCTTGGTAAGATAATTAAGGAAGCATTTGTCAAGACGTGCTGCCCACGGTAGCTTTCGACGAGCGGACCAGGGGCTCTATCTTGCGCTTTTTGGACTCCCACGGCGACTAGGGAGAAGGAAGTGACGTCCAACAACGCAGCAAACGCAGATTGGATGCTCATTGGTGAAAGTCGCTGATGACGAATTTCCGCAGAAGAAAACAAAGCTCACTTTTTCATTGTTTTCTCCTGCAGAAATTCGTCATTGTCGACTCTCACCAATCAACATCCAATCTGCGTTTGCTGCGTTGTTGAACGTCACTTCCTTCTCCCTAGTCGCTGTGGGAGCCCAAAAAGCGCAACATAGGGCCCCAGGCACCAGATGCGGACTTTGGTCCGGGAAATTCGGTTATATAGAGTGGAACTGGCTGTTGTTGGCAACTGTAACAGAGTGTATTTAAGCCCCCTTGTTTTGTTTCATACTTCGGTCACCAGTCCACGCCACTTTTCGCTGCACGCTTGGATAGGAGGCAGTTTTCCCTTTTCGTCTCTTTCACTCCTTTTCCACTGAGCGGCGTTGCCTCATCCAGAGCTGCGGTTAGCAAAGGGTTTCAAGCAAGCCGATATTCATTTTAACAGTTCGCACCACGTGAGGATACGGCGCCATCCACCAGAGAAGATTTAAATGACATGAAAGGAAGCTACCGGCTATCCAAGTGTACAGCAGAAACTGAAACCTCCTCGCGGTCGAATGCTGGAACAAAGGAAAGGGACCTTGGCGCACGCCTTGAAAGGGGCCATGCAACAATTTTTGTACTTTGCGAAAATACCGTTAAGAACGGATCCCTGACGTTAATGACCTATGAAACACGCGTTCGTTTTTCACCCCACGCAATAGAAGTCCCGGAAAAAATTAAAGAAAACGAGCAGCGTTCACTCCGTCAACTCGCAGCCAGAACAAGCGGCCACGTGATCCGGAGCCGATCATATTTTGCCAAGGCTGATCATAGGCACGCGCTGGGGTTGGCAAAGCACAGGACACGCGCTGAGTTCCAGACATTGTGATGACTCGGCTAGTGACGTTATTCTAGTGATTGGACACGGGCCACTACCCGAATGCTTTTCGAGCTAGTAATTATCACGAGCCCACGCAATGCTCGGGTCCAATCTATGAACCACATTCAAATATCGTCATTGGGGTGTACTGCGATCCCCACGTTACGTCATCAAAATTTGCACAGGAGAGATTGAATGAAAATGATCGCTTTTGTCCTTGAAATGACACCGCAACAAAGGCGTGTCTTGGCCAGTGGTGTTGCGTGCGAGTATCCTCGAGTCCCACTAGTGCCAGTAAGCTCGTGCAAAGTGAAAAACATTCCAACTGAATATCGTTGCACCGACCTTAAAGTTACAAATTGTGCGGGACTTTCGGATCTCTCGATGAATGTTGCCACTTTAAAAAGTGTATATTTATCCGAAGGAATTCGTTCCTTGTTTTCTAGAATGTTCAAGAACTGTTCCAGATTTCATCTGGAATCATTCTTTGGCCCCTCAGCTGGTATGCAGCAAACACTGCAATTACGCCTTTTTCACTTTCATGGCGCGGGTACCATTGGACCGTTTTAAAATTATTAGAAAATATTTTTTCTTCGAGGAAGTCTTTTTTTTTTTGCGATCAATATTTTGTTTGCTTAGAATCAGCGTGTTTGTCCGATATTTTTACCAACTTAGTTTGGATTTGAGTCTTTTGGTTCTCGGTTCAGGTCCGTCAGTACTAAAGACCTTCGTTGTTTGGATGCGTAACACCCTACAGTGCAGCCATGACTGCACGCTCTTTGCGTGGATCAAGGGTTGATATATTAATTTCAATTTATTTCGTTTTTCATGGACGTCTGAACTAAGAATAACAAATAAAAAACTAAATTTATGCTTATTAAAAAAAACGATTTATTTTTTTTCTTTCGCAAAATATTACTCAGGATTACTCTCTCGTTATAACCCGAATACACTCGCCTTAGTTTTTTTTGTTTTTTTTTTCTAAGCAATGATAGTCGGCAAGTAAATTCTAGAAATGTAAGCATCGTTCATCCCCTCAATTCGGAGCAAGAACAAGCGGCCACGGAGCCTGGTGCCTATCCTATGCCGTCAACGTTAATCATAGCCACGCGCTGCGGTCAGCAAATCAGAAAACGCGTTCTCAGCTCCAGACATTGTTAAGCCTGGTTCAAACAGTTGCGTTTGACTGCGTTTGACTGCGTTGCGTCGAGAACCGAAAGCGAGTCACCGTCACCTCTGTGCTTCGTATGAAGCGTGGACTCCAATTCAAGGAGTCATCTTGGCACGCGACATAAGCAGCAGGGATATCCTGGTTTCTCGCTGCTGCAACGCAGTCAAACGCAGTCAAATGCAACTGTCTGAACCAGGCTTAAAGCCTGGTTCAGACAGTTGCGTTTGACTGCGTTTGACTGCGTTGCAGCAGCGAGAAACCAGGACATCCCTGCTGCTTATGTCGCGTGCCAAGATGACTCCTTGAATTGGAGTCCACGCTTCATACGAAGCACAGATGTGCCGGTGATTCGCTTTCGGTTCTCGACGCAACGCATTCAAACGCACTCAAACGCAAGTGTCTGAACCGGCCTTTAGAGTAAATACTGGTTCAGACAGTTGCGTTTGACTGCGTTTGACTGCGTTTGACTGCGTTGCGGCAGCGAGAAACCAGGACATCCCTGCTGCTTATATCGCGTGCCAAGATGATTCCTTGGATTCGATCCACGCTTCGAATGAAGCACAGATGTGCCGGTGACTAGCTTTCCGCACTCGACGCAACGCAGTGAAACGCACTCAAACGCAAGTGTCTGAACCGGCCTTTAGGCTATTCTCATCACCGCAGTGGTTGGACACGACCCACTACCCGAGTGTCAGCCGAGGCATGGATTGTGACGAACCGAATTCGAGTGCTCACGCAGTTCTCGTGCCCCATCCATGAGCCGCGCTTGACAGTCATCAGGCGGGTCGTTTCGATCACACATTTACATCATCAAGATTTGCGAAGGCAAGACGGAAAGAAATCTTAGCCATTTCACCGCAACCAAGAAGCTTTTAAATCAGTGTCGGTCCGTGCGAGGAAACTTGATCCAGGCTATTCCCAGTACACTCCTGTAAAGTCATGAACATTCGGATCCGTTGTCGTTTCATGACCTTTTTAAACCTATATATCTTGAGGAGTCGTGTGGTGTGTCAGCTGAAGAACCCGATGACAGACAGCGGCGGGACGAGGTTCAAGAATGCTTTTTCAATTCGCGAGATGTGCTTTATGATACTATCCAAACAAGGCCCGAAGCGACTGAAGCCGGTGTGAAGAACTTGACAGGAACATTTTAAAACTCCTGTGGTGGCTCACTCAACGTTTCGATAGGAAGCTCAGCCGGAGACCTTCCCCCAAGGGATGCCCTACAAAAGCGTTCGGTTTTTTAGCGGTACGTAGGCTGCCCCTAATGGGCTACCAGAATAGGCGTTTTTGCACGTTATTAAAAAAAACAAGCTCTCACTGTAGTCTCGGACAGATTAAGAAACGCAGGGCGTGGCTCAATATGTTAATTCGCGATCTTTCCTTCGTGATTGGTCCTTCGGCATCCTTGTCAGCGAATGCCACAATCTCATTGGCTGCGGAGCAATAATGAGATGCGCTGCTAGGAACGTAAGGCGTGGCGCCTCACGTCCCTTCCACTGTCAGTGGCCCTCGTGAATGACGCCAACATCACCTAAACAAGCGTTAGCCTAGAAGGTCTAGGTTTTGGGCATTTGTATCCGTGGTGAATGATACGTCAATGGTGTCTCAAGCAAGGCTCACATCGTAGTCGATTGGCGAAGAGATCTTCCGGTGGTTCCTATTTGTGTCATCGCGACCAGGATTATTAATTGCCAGCAACAATTTTGATTGTGCATGAAAAAAAGCATGGTGAAATCTATCGGAGCTTTTACCGTTCTTTTTTGATCATCGAGCAGCCCACGATCAAGCTCGCAACTTTGACGCGGAGATATCTTTATTGGTCAAGCCTGAAGGTCACTTGGAGGTCATCATGGCGACGAACTCGTCGTAGTTGATCTGTCCGTCGCCGTCGCGGTCGGCCTCGCGGATCATCTCGTCCACTTCTTCGTGCGTCAACTTCTCGCCTAGCGTGGTCATCACGTGACGGAGCTCGGCCGTGCTCACGAAGCCGTCGCCGTTGCGGTCGAAGACTTTGAAGGCCTCCAGAATCTCCTCCTCGGTGTCCAGGGCGCGGACGTTTTTGGCCATGATGGTCAGGAACTCTGGGAAGTCGATGTACTCACGGCTGTCGGTACCCAAAATGTCCTGCGTGGTTAACAGATGATTATCCTGCTTTATTTTTTTCTTTAAAGCCACCTCTAAGAAGTCACAATAGGGGATGTTCACTGGCTTATGGTTAGCCACGAGATGCTCGCCTATGCAAACCAATGAATGTCCGAACACTGCCATTATGTGGCTCTGACCCTCATCGTTTAAAGACGCCATCGGGTGTCGATCTTTAGGTGCCAATTTTAATATTTAAATCGGCCACGCATAAATGTAATGTCTTCTTTTTTTTAATGTTTACAAGTCCGAAAGTGAGTTAGGACCATAAATAGACATTGTAGAAAGCGGTTCGGTGGCGCTTCGTAATGACGTATTAAGCCTTGAAGTTTAACAGCGCATGAACTTGGGCGAGTTGGTTTGACATGATTAAAAATTAAAACAGCGCGAGGACACGGACAAGAACAAAAAGGTAGAGGGACAAGGCGCTGACTTACAACTAAATTTTATTCGTGCTAACATCAAGTATAAATACTGTAACGTCATGACACACAAATAAAGATAAAATACATGTAATGGACGCCACGTGCACCTTAACCACCGTGTTGCGCTGTCACTGTGTGTCTCGAAAGCAACATTCCTTTTTGGATAAACATATTGAAATTGGGTTGTGTGTGTGTTTATACAGCCTAGAACTTGGTCTGCCTCACAGGGGCGACGAGTCTCCCAGCTGTAGATGAGAAATTTAGCCAGTGTGGTACAGCCGCTAGCCTGGGGTCTTTAACGTGCATCACGCAGTAGTGATACACGACCGCACGCCGGTACGATGCTCATCCAGATCGAAACGGGCAGGGGTGGGGCTCGAACCCAGGATCCCTGGGTTCTGCAGCGCGAGCTTTCGCTCCACGTGCTCCGAGCTGGTGTGCGCTAGACCACTCGGCCACCGATCCCCCATAAACATATTGAAGGAGTGCTGACACAGTTTTTTACCAATTTTCCAATTTTCCGCGCCTCAATGATTTCTCGAGGGAGTTTGTCTTTATTTTTCCTAATCACTTCACATTTGTCGAAGACGGGAGTGCAGCAGAAATCACGGCAATGCAAGCCAAGATGACCTGACACAACTCTAAAGACATTATACTTATGTTCTCGCAAGCGATCATTGAGGCAACGCCCCGTTTGCCCGACGTATCTCCTGCCCACCGTGCTCCTGCCGCACTAGAGGGGAATAGAGTACAACACTTTCTCCACACAGTTCGCGAATCGGTCGTGGTGTTTTTTGATGCAACCATGCTTTCCTTTAGAACAGGAGTTCACTTTTCTGCACAGCCCAGACAGCTTTGCCGGAGCCGAAAAAAACCACATCTACACCAACCCTTCGGCCAACTTTCTTTAGGTTGTGTGAGATCTTGTGCAGATAGGGTAAAACGCTTACTTTTTTGTTAACCCTAAGAGCCTGTTGGGTCGTTTCCTCAAATGCTTTCTTAAGTAGGCTCTCAGCAACTGTCATCAACAAGTAAGACGAATATCCCGCATATCTGATCCTTGATGCTTGTGTGCCGAAGCTCTCTTTCAGCTTGTGGGCGCATGACTTGAACAGGGCCTTTCTAACACAGAGGTTAACAATCCCCCTTTTTACTAGTTTGGAATGCGCTGAGGAAAAAGTGACAGCGCATAACGGTGGTTAAGGAGCCCGTGGCGTCCCTTACATGTATTTTACCTTTATTTGTGCGTCATGACGTTACACTATTTATACTTAGTGTTAGCACGAATAAACTTTAGTTGTAAGTCAGTGCCTTGTCCGTCTACCTTCTTGTTCTTGTCCTTGCGCTGTTTCAATTTTGAATCATGAAATACCAACTAGCCCAAACTTCTACTTTGGTGTGACATCATGAAAGGGAAACAACGCGTAAATAAACGAGGCACGAGAAGAAGTGAGGACAGACACGTTACTGTGTCTTTCGCTATCTCTTTTCTTCTCGTCCCTCGTGTATGGTCGCGCTGTTCCCCTTTCATGAGTTCATCATGACATTTAGTATATGTGCACTTTAAGTATCAAATTGGGTCGACGCCGGATCGCGCCGCTTAAATGCAATAGCATTTAAACATTAAAAGATATTAGAAATGTATTCAAATATATATTAAGGGCACGTTCTTGTTTTATATGCAGGTATGATCAAGGAGTGTTTATGAAGCTCAAGGCGAGGCGAGTTCAGGGTATCGTATTATTACTCCGCAGCCAATGAGACTAACAGAAACTGAAGAACCAATTACAAAGCAAAAGGTTTGAACAGTACGAGTTTTCTGAAGCTGTCACTGATTTTTTCGTGTAATTGCTTTTACAAAGGATAAAAACCTCAGAAGTACACCTTCTTCAACATTTTATGTTGGACAAGCATGGCGAATACTTCATATTGAAGCATTCACCGCCTGCCACGGGTATGGAGTGTTGCTTTTGGATGAGTGCTGATAACAAAGTTTTCACCGGTTTTACTTAGTGCCCTAAATCTGCTGTGGTTCTTGACAAAACTACAGGTTGATTTACTCACAGCTCGTATAGTCTAAAATCACTAGACCCTGGGAGAGTAGCCCTGAGCTCCACGCATGGTCGCCATTTTGGTCCATGGGATCGTCACTTCCTCTTTGATCTCTTCATCCGTGGTGAGCTGGTCCAAATTCGCGGTGGCAGGTTGCTTTATAATGACATTTTTTCCACACCAAGATTATGTTGACCGTATCTTCGCACTGCCGCAGCATGCAGCCTCGGTGCTTGGAAGCATTGAGAATTAGTTTTTCTGTATATTCAAATAGGCAAAAAGATCAATAGCATTGAAAGATATCCGTTGAGATAGGTATGTTTGATATGTTGATATCATCCGCAGCTCCAAATAAGCTTATATTGACGAGGAACGCTTTCAGTACAATGACGTTTCATATTGATCGTGGCGCGGCTGGTTGAAAAGACACTTTTGAATTACGAACATTGGAAAGGACCCGAATGGCGATCGCGTTAACGACAGGGACCGATCAGTCAATCGTTTTGCGAGGTTTTGGTCGTCTATATTTGAGTATACGTTTATACACGGCTAGCAGCAGAGAAGTCAATGGCGCTTATTTCCTCGGATCCTGAAACTTCAGTCTGATCAAATGGCATTCAAGGTTCTTAAGTTTTGCAAAATACCGAATTTGGCGAAGCCGGGATTCTATCTCCAGGTCTTCTCATTACCGATGAGGTGTGGACGAACACCCTGCTTGCAAACAAGCCCGCGTTTGCCCACATCAGTGGTGGGCATTGCGCCTGCGCAGAAACCAGATTCCCATAAAGTGAAGCGTCTGTGCAGGCACCTTGGCGACTGCAGCGCCACCGCGACAGCGTGACGTCGGAGTCGCGTGTTGATGCATCGGCGGTGTGTCCTACCGAAAGCGTCGGTGTCCTCGTCTTTCCAAGATTGGCCAATCGATGGGCATCAGGGCAATGTCAGATGGTCAACTTCGACGGTATTGGATTCGTGTCGCGATACCTCCAAGCTTTCAACATGCTTTTCACACGCGCGGCATCTAACTTGTGGGTCGCAACTATTGATGGGTAGCGCAGATCGCAACTCGTAACATCACGGCGATGCATATCCTTGTTGTGACGTCACGAATCGGAACCGTAAGGGGGCGCCCATAAATCATCTCGAGGCAAATAAACATTTCTGATTTTGACAAATCCAGAGCTCAGCGTGCCATCTCCACAGCCCAGCAGACGCCTGTGCATCGCTATGGAAAGTGAGTGAAGCGCCCGCCGTACGCACGAACGCTGGCCAGAAGCCCATTTCTGGAATGGTTCATTAGCGACGTATGCATGCATGTATGCATTTTTTTCGGTGCATTCTCTTTGAATCTAGAAACCCTAAAAGAGACACGGTAAAAAAAATAGAAATTCTGTTTCAGAATTGGAGTATGCTTTATCTTTGACCACCATGTGTCGATCGCCCAGCAATCCTCGAACCTTCTTTTGGAGCACGTCACACAACTTTGTTTTTCCGTGAACCCCAGAACTTGCTCAATTCTGGAGACGACGCCTGGTGTATCCATAAGTGCCAAGCACTGAAGTAGCAAATGCAGTTTTGACTCTTGCGCACCTTCACATGCACTGCAGAGCGTGTCGGTCATGGTGGTACCGTTCTTGCGTCTGTATAGGCGGGTTCGCAAGGCACCGCAACGGGTCTCAATGAGACTTCAGTGAAAATGACGGCACCTAGCGGCTAAAACGGAACGCTGCGGCGGCATGTTTACTCTCCTGCCCTCTCGATAGAATTAGATATTCACAGCGCATCGCGGTCGAAAGATGAAGCCGTGAACCTAGGTTTAAAAACGCGTGAGGAAAATCGCTAATTCTATACTCCGTTCACCCTTAAAGGTTCCCAGAGGAGGTTTCTAAGATCGCCTAAATATGGCGATAACTCATTTTTCTAGCCCTAAGCATCCTAGAAATTTATAAATCATAGCGATGGGCGACCGATTTCCTTATGAGAAAAGCAATGAAGGATCGAACACACCGAGGTCGTTTTCGGCGATGGGAGGAGCTTTGTTCCGACAGCCAGGACGAAGTTACCCTTGGAAACACTACATTTCGTCGAGATTGCAAACGCTGTCAACAGATAATGTGCAGGCGTTTGTAGATTAAAAAAGCAAAAAATAAGTAGTAGAAAAGAGTTTATTTTTCGCAGAGAGGGCTCATAATACTGCAATAATCGTCTCAAACACAACGCCCTATGTTCTTTTTTTTTATTTGTCTTCCGCGGGAGTGATATGTCTGGTTGTCAGCTTTTATGTTGCTCTTCTTGCGACATCAGTAAAATTATTTTTCAGTGACCCCAAACATTGACGCCGGGTGCGATGCCGTACATCTTCGCACCGCCATCACACGCAACGCCAGTGCTTGGAGGAATTGAAAAATAATTTGACTGTCTTGAGACACGCAAGAAGAGCAACATAATTGTAAGAGATCTGGGGAAATAGTCATGAGTTACAATTTTATTCCATGCACAGTGCTAAAGACGCTCATATTGGCCGAGGAACGCTTTCAATACGATGATGCTTCATAGAGATCGTTGTGCGACTGGTTTTCACGAGCCTTTCGAAGCTTTGAAAGGGGCCAAAATGGCGATCACCATGGCCACCGACAGCGATGAGCCAATCACCTTGAGAGGTTTTGTCATCTGTATATTGTTATTTGTTTGCGTCCGCTTAGCAGGTGGGAAGACCATGGCGCTACTCTCCCAGATCCAGTGACTTTAGCGCACACCAGCTCAGAGCACGTGGAGCGAAAGCTCGCGCTGCAGAACCCAGGGATCCTGGGTACAATCCCCACCCCTGCCCATTTCGATGTGTATGAGCATCGTGCCAGCGTGTGGTCGTGTATCACTACTGCGTGGTGCACGTTATAGACCCCAGGATAGCGGTTGTACCGCACTGGCTAAATTGCTCATCTACAGCTGAGACACAAGATGACCACTAAGGTAGACTGAACTCCGGCTGCATAAACATACACACAACAATTTTTGGTACACCTACCCCCATAGCCACCGTACTTCTGGTATGCGGTAAAACATAGTTTTGATATCTCCACGCCGCTGGAAGGTGTTTACGAAAAATACGTGATTGTCACACGTTCTTGTTTTGCCTCACCTATATTTTCTCGCATATTCAAAGTTGAAATGTTTTATTATGTTTTCGTCCCGCATACCAGATACGGAACTCACGTGAGTAAGAACAACAGAAAACAAAAAACGTCTATAGCCGCCGCAGCTTGCACTTGAAGTCATCGCAGAGTGCTGGCAATCTTTAATATCCGTTCCTGTTGAGAAAAGCCAATTTTATGGCGCAAAACGTATGCTGCAAGACCTATACGTGCTCAGCAGCAAATCCAGCACCAAAGCAGACGCCGTGACGTCATTGCCGCTATAGACATTTTTTTAAGGCATTGCCATCTTGAAAATCGCGTCTCTGACGACGTCGTTCATCGGCTTAAAACTAGAAATTCCGGCTGATTTGGGCCCATGTTACTAGATTAGGTGAGTTGTGGAACTCCCGCGGAGGGGGGTACCCCTTCTCAGTCACTTCAGTCCGCCTCCGGTCGGCTGAAGCGCCACCTAGATTGTCCTTGCAAAAATGTGCATTCCATAGAATACAGTGAATCGCCATACCTGGACGACGCTGTGCATCAAAACATAAGAATTCCTTAGAATGCACTGCAATTACCATAGCAGCCCTCCTCAAACCGGTGGCGCGTCGAACGACGGGAAGCGAGCTTTGTGCTCAAGAAGTGTCCCCCTCCGTCCCCCTGCACTTTCCCGGGCGGCCTTGAGCAGCTTCGGGCGCTCGCCTTTTCGGAGGTTTTTCCTTTCATTTCCGCCAGTATTCTTGTTGAAGTTTGAGATAATAAAGGAGCCTTCTCCTGGAGGGGGGAAGGCTCCTTTGTAACCTAGGGACCGCATAACGGTGCCCCCCCCCCCCCCCCCCCCGAAATACAACCGAGTACCGGCCTGCCAGGTGTTAGAAGGCTTGGTACTCAAGGGCGAGGGTTCAAAATAGGGTAGGTGGCACCCTAGCAGGCTCACTTGTACTCTGAACTTGTAGAACCATTCCGTCGCTTCAACGAAGACTGATTTCCGCGGCATCGGTTTCAAAGCACGGCTTGGAGCCAATAAATCGGTGCAGCGGCGAACAGCTAGGGGCCGTCGGCGCAGTGTAGTTCTGCGGCGGCTAAAACAAAAGGCGCAACCGGAGTCCTGTTTATCTTACTTTAGATTCCTCCCCACACGCACACACGCACACACGCCGCGCCGCTAGAGGCAGCGATTTCGGCTGCAGAATCGCTGCATGTGAAACCCGCTTTACACGCCATACGCACAAACGCTAGAGAGTTTACGAAGCACTTTGCTGTTACGGGCGCACTTTTAGCAGCCCATGTTTCGCATCGCAAAATTGGCTTTTATCGGCAAGGAAAAGTAGGACTGACCATTGGCATGGCGCGATAACGTCACTAGCAACCTATGTATATATACTCTGATCTTTGCCTATGGCACGAAACATTTCTGCAGCTTTGCATGAACTGAGCATCCGTCAGACGCGACGTTTCGCTCTCGTAGTCGCTACAGGTCACCTTAATATCCGCCTCGGTGGGGCTGTAACCTAGGGAGCGCATGACGGTGCCCAAGTCCGAAGCCTTGATGGCTCCGCTGCTCTCCTTGTCGAACAGGGTGAAGGCCTCCCGGAACTCCGTGATCTCCTCCTCAGTAAGCTGGCGCTTGTCCTGCTGAGGACCCTCCCTGTGAGACTCCGGTTGCGTAGAACGACCGGTGCGCAGTCTCGGCTCCATGGCGGATTAGATCAGAGGGAGACAAGCTGATCGGCGGAGATGCTGGGCAACGTCGGGGAAACGTTCGGCAATGGCTTTGTTCGATGCGCGTGCCCCCCGTGCCTTTGAAGCGTTTTGCTCTTCTGTTGGTTCGGTTAGTTGTACTCCAGTAGATGGCGAAGCCGTTGTGTTTTATTATTATTAATATTAATATTATTTATTATCAGGGTATCAATACTCGGCATAAGCTATTTTGTATTACGTCTTCAAGGCAGCATCGATTCCGCCGTTCTCCAAAATTATGAAGGTATTTGCGTGAGCATGTGTGTAAAAGACGCAAAGGAAGCCACGTGCTCTTGCAGTAGTGCGAGGCTGCAGCAATGTGCAGGCTGCGCTAGTCTTGAGAACGTCGCGCTGAATAGTTGAATCAGAAATCTAGCCAGTGGAGTACAACCGCTATCCTGGGGAAAGACCACAGTGTAAAGAAGGTTGTATTCCACTGGCTAAATTTTTGGATCTACACCTGACATACCAGACGCCATTGAGGCTGACGAAATTCCGGCTATATAAACAAACACACATTTGAGTATGCACTAAATGCCCCCCCCCCCCCAAAAAAAAAAAAATTCGGTTGTGTGTATGTTTATACAGTCTACAACTTAGTCTACCTCAACGGGCAACACGTCTCTAGACGTAGAAGAGAAATTTAGCCCGCACAGTACAATCACTCCTAGGGTCTTTAACGTGCATCATGCAGTAGTGATTGCACGACAGCGCGCCTGTACGATGATCATCCAGATGGAAACGGGCAGCGGTCTGGGTTGAAGAAATTGGTTGTGAGCATGTTTATACAGCCTTAAAGTTCATCTGCCTTTAACGAGCGACTTGTCTCTCAGCTGCAGATGAGCAATGTAGCCAGTGCAGTACAACCGCAAGCCTGGGGCCTTTAACGTGCACCACGCAGTAGTGATACACAACCGCACGCCGGTACGATGCCCATCTAGATCGAAACGAGCAGGGGTAAGGATTGAACGCAGGATCCTGGGTTCTGCAGCGCGAGGTGTCGCTTAACGTGCTCCGAGCTTACGTGTGTGCGCTAGACCAACGGGTAGACCATTCTGCCACCGATCCCCATGTGTGTCCCCCCCCCCCCCCCCCCCTCCCCCCGTCAATTTGTTGCAAGCTGCTTGAGCAGATTTTGTATAGCCAGATAATGCAGCATCTTAGTTACCATAATTTTTTCACGGATTCTCAACATGGGTTATTCTTGTGTCACGCAACTAACCGAGCTCTATCATGATCTTGTCATCTCCGTAGATAAGGGTGAACAGACTGATTGCGTTTTGCTTGATTACAGGAAAGCGTTTGACACAGTGTCGCACTTGTTCTTGCTTCACAAATTGAATTGTTTGAACAAAGATATCACCGCGCTAAAATGGATTTAGTCATATTTGAGTTCGCGTGAGCAATGTGCTATATTAAACGGCGAGGCGTCTCATTTGGTTAAAGTTAGGTTTGGTGTACCACAGGGGTCGGTTCCGGGGCCATTGTTATTCTTAAAGGGCACATGCAAAGCAAAAGACTATTTTTTTCAAACAGCTTAGATGGAAAAAGCATGTCATAAAACAATTTTACAACGAAGAAAAAAAACTTTAGATGCTATATTTACGGCGCTATACGAATTTGTAGTTGGCGCCCGCGGCCGCCGCGGCAAAATGGCGCCGCGGCAAAGTGGCCCTTATTTATCACCTGACTGGCCCTTATTTATCACGTGGTGCTTGCGCTCTTTCGGAAACTTCCAATGGCACCTAAAAGTAACTTATTCAGCTTTGTTTGAAGCATAACAAGAAGCTAAGATTAATAAGTAACTTTTAGAGCCCAAAGGAAACTCCTGAAAAAGCGCTAGCAGACGTGACAGATCTGTGCGCCGGTGAGATGACGGCGGCGGCGCCCCGAAACAGACAAACTTGTGCGACGGCGGCGTGGAGGAACGCGTTAAAGGGCAACTCCGCTTCATTTTTGGTTTTGAGAAAACAATGCAGTCCTCTTCAGTATCGCCTAGGAAGACCACACGTGAAATGTTACGACGCAGTTCTGTCTACATGTTTCTTAAACGGTCCGGCAAACTTTGCAACTCGCCAAGTTGCCGAAATCGGCTGACTTGAGCGGGTGAATTCAGGCGCAACCAACAGCGCAGTCAAGGCTACGGCATGGGCGGAGCCAACATTGAGCTAAACGCCATTACCATGGCCCCCTTTTGCTTGTTTTCACTTCTCCGGGCGAGCGTAGCGCATGACGTCAGCAACGTTGCCTCTCGGCGCTCAGCGGTGTCCACGTGATTGGTGTAACGCGCCTGCGCAGCGCGTTTCTTGGGAGCCGTCCGGCCGCCCGCCGTGGTCCTACCGTTACCGCCGTCTTCCGCGTCACAACCGCCGTCGTCGTCTCACCGATTCTGATTATTGTCTCTCGGAGTTTCGTCCACACTACGGGCACCACGTGCGCAGACTTATGCCGCAGTTGTGCAGACGTCGTCGAATGCCGTAGACACCAAAACGTGGCGAAGAGTGCGGTGCAGACGACACTCGCGCCTGCCACACGCCCGCCCCAATCCCGCCCGTCGTTGGGCCGAGGATTACGTGACATCTCGTACCACGTGATGGCCATGTACTTGGCGACCCGAGGCCAGTGTTGCCGGGCGGAGCCGAAGTTTCGGTTTCGATTTCCGCTCGTGTTTAAAATTAGATTGAAAACTATATATCCCATTTTTCGCGAAGCAAACGACGTAGTGTGTTTTACTAGGGCTTTTTAATTCGAAATCAATCATTAACCCGAAACCTTCGGAATTGAGCGGAGTTGCCCTTTAAAGCGGCGTCGTACAACGCTCAGCGTGCGGCGGCGGCGTGACTTTGCGGCGGCGGCGACGCAGCGCGGCGGCGCGCGGGCATGCCACGTGACCAGCGGCGCTCCCGCGGGCGCCAACTACAATTTCTTTTTGGCGCCGTAAATATAGCTCTAATTTTTTTTCTTCGCTGTAAATAATTACGCTAAACGGTAATTTACGCTAAACTGTGTGCAACTATGTACAACTCTGTGTAGCTATGTGCATCAGGGTGTATCGTCTCGGCTGTCTCGGCAATCGCCACAGTTCGTTTGTAGGATATAAAAGGAAACCGGGATGTGTGTTTTTTTGTGTGTGTTTGACAAATGAAGTGTGTTCTAGATTATGTGTAGAAATCGCTAAAGAAAAAATAATGGCTGTATTCTATAAAGAAGAAAAATATTATCGGGGGGGGGGGGGTTATTGTAGTAATGTACAAGAGAAAAAGAAAAGTAAAAATGGAGATAAAGAAGAAGGCCCTTTGGAGTTTGCAGTAGACAATGCATATTTATTTATTATGGAGCCCGAGGTGTGGGCTTCCCAATGCTAGAATTCAGTTGCCGAGTAGGCTACAGCACACTTGACGAATGCACACCAGCTCGGAGCACGTAAACGACACCCCGCGCAGATGTACCCAGGGATCTTGTTTTAAACCCCCACCCCTGCCCGTTTCGATGTGGATGAGCATCGTACCGGCGTGCGGTCGTGTATCACTACTGCGGGTTGCACTTTAAGAACCCTGTCTTGCAGGAGTACTGCCCTGAATAAACTTATCGTCTAGAGTTAAGGTGCAACCCCACCGTGCAGGACGTTTTGGTGCTTTTTTGACGGCTTATAACTTTCGTTCTATGTAACTTACAATTATAAAGTTAATGTCAAATTAAAGAGCTGTTTTTTGACAATCCTTTAATGTCTCAATATTACGTTTACTCTTAGTTGTTAGTTAATAATTTATCTTTTAATAGACTGCAGTCTCTAATGTTGAAAAAATTATTTCTCGAGTTATAACGTCCCACTGTCCACGATAATTTACGTGAGAGTTTGGTTGCATGTAATAAATTGAAAAAGTAAGCAACAAGTTGTACAGATGGTGTATATTTTAAAATAAAAATAAAGTTTAAGTTGGCATCATTTTAAGGCGCTATAAAAACGGAATCACGTTAACTAATCAAAATAACGAGACATTAAATTATGAAGCATCCTTCAATATTACATTGTCCAGAACTTCCATATCGATATATTACACGTTAAGAATCTTATAAGACCTCAAACTTTTCCCATTCAGTTACGGCGAATTGTAGTTTCTTAATATAAGGTACAGATGGCGACACGTGTTCAAAAACAGCTTGATGTGCATTTTCCGTCGTGTGCCGCTTGGAACGCCACGTGAAAGACAGAAAAAGCGCTAGATGTCAGGGTGTCAGATGCCTGGATGCCCGCAGTGAGCGAGCCAGAGATGTCAGAAACACAAGCGCGAGGCTGCGGGTGCACCACAGTTACTTTTGCGCGCGTTCTACTGTGCGTCGGTACGCATTCCCGACGCCATCCAAATGAAATGGGAGCCATGAAATGCATTCTGCCATTTCAGATTCCGCCACGTATGGAAAAATATTTTATTGTTTTTATCACATGGAAACACCATTTTCGCAATCAAACTATGCTTGTCGGAATGGTTTGACTATATTTTGTTTCAAATACCACCTCGGTGGCTCTTAAGTGGCGATGATATTAAAACAAAACACAAAATATTAAATCGCTTCAGTGTCTCTGAGCCAACGCGCTGGCCCATAAATCTATTATTTGTTGGGTTTAAATATTGGCCTAGGTGCCCGCAATTCGAGGACAATCTGAGATTTCGGTTGCACGTCAAAATATCTCCAATTAGTCAAAAGAAACCGCAATTGTTTTTTTTTTTATTGGGGTGATTTTTGTTGGTTTGTCTTGTGAAACCCTAAGATCTTAATATTTGCTTTGCTTTACCTTAGTTCAGAACGCAGCCAACGCTACGGGCTGATAAAGCCACTGAAGCAGCACCAAGAGCGCAAAGTCAAGCTGTTTGTTCTGTTTCTATGCCTATGCGGTCGGGCTAAACTAGAACAACTAAGTAAGTTAAGCTTCATAGACATCTTGGTGCTTGAAATAA